TGTATTCTTTTGGCTTCAGTGATTATTTTATTATGTACATTTACAGTGCCTAACAGATGTAAGGTACTCAGTAAATGTTTGTGGAAGACATGTTGAGGACTTCTAAATCTGTGTCTTAATTTGTCTCTTCCTGTCTTCTGTTTATCCTGTGGTCATTTAAATTCAGTACCTTAGACATCGAACTTTATTTCTGTCTATAAATTGCTCTTGCTATCATTCTTCTCTCTCTCTGTCAAAGGTACCACTGTTCTTCCCATCACCCAAACTTGAAACATTAAGGATATCCTGGACTCCTCTACATTTCCCACCTAGTCACCATGTCTTATCTATTCGTTCTTGGGAAAGTCTTTTGGATTCTCACCTCATTTACCACCTTTACTGCTTCCATACTAAGCCAGGCTTTTATCATCTTTTTCTTGGCTTGTTGTATTAGCTTCTAGCCTTTAGTTCCTTTGAATTCTTTTCTATCTTCTTCAACACAATTGCAATAAAATCAAGGCATCAATTTCGAGATGTTACCCAGTTGTCTAAACACCTTCCTACCACATGTAAACTCTTCATCCCAACATTCAAGGCTCTCCACAATTTTGAACCACGTTGCCTGTTAGCCTCCACCTCTAAACGATACATAAGAAATCCTCTGCCTCGGGTTAGCTTGGTCTGCCCATCATATTAATTCCCACTTCATCTTCTTTGTCCTAAGCTTTCTTCCTCTCTTCCTTTACACAGTTAAATCCTACCCACCCTTCATTGTTCTTCTCAAATTCCTCCTCCAGGAGGCCTTCCCTGACTTTTCCGTCATGTGCATATATTTTCCTTCTTTGCTACTTTGTTGTATCCATTGTCTTTTCTAGGACCTTTTGTTAACAGTTTCTTATGCATAAATTGCAGCTCTTCATTAAAGTAATAAACTCCTCAATAGTAGGCAAGAGTATTGTCCTATATTCTGGTTTGTGTTCCCACTAAGTAGCCAGCATGACATTAGAGAGAGAATNTGTTACATTTAACAGAGGCCTGACACAATTCTGGTGGTCAGAACATGTTCACTAATTTTTAAAAATTATTATTGGACTTTTGAATAAATCTACAAAAACCACTTATAATAATATTTTATCTTTTTCAGAGCTGCTAAATTCCTGTTAATTCCTAAGGGCACTTTTGTCTATGAAAGCACTAGTTCATGCCATTTTAGTGATGATTTCTTGAAGCCACTGTAGATTTACTTATTGAAAAACTGGGTCAGTTATTCCTACAACATAATTGGTGAACAAATAAAACATTTTTATTAATATTAATCTAGAAAATGTGTTTACTGCCAGAAAAGAAATGAGACTACTTCCAAAGGAAAAAAAAAATTAAGCTTGGCTTGCGCAGATGTGCAAAGGGGTGTTGTAAAGATAAATTTTCTAGGACCAAGATATGAAAGTGCTGGGATGTATGGAAGGAATACTGTAAAAGGCTTTGGGCATCTTCAGGACACTAAAGCTGAGGCAGAGTCCTGTGGCCTGGTAATGCCAAGGAACCCAAACAGAAGCCTAAGGAGTGAGGTTGGCAATTGACCGACCCGACCCGGTGCCTTTCGGTGATTCGGAGGACTCTGTCGGTGGTATTGTGTCAAAGTAAAATCTGGAGAAGATACCATTTAAAAGAGTACCTCAATATTACCAATAATTACCTTTGACAATAATTTGGACGTTGTAATACAATTTAATGTATACTTTCTGTTTTGGAGAAGCCTTTTCAACTTGGATTCCTTTTTTTTTAACATGCTGTTTTCAGGGAGTATTTTGGCAAAACTCTCTGCCATATTTAGGACTTATGATTCATGCCCAGAAGGATCATTATCCAAAACAGATGTATAATAAAT